GTGACATAGGAGGAAGGGGCGGTGCTCCATTTAAAACGCGTCACCCCTCCCATTCGTTCTCGGCATTGTGCCACTCGTGGTCCGTTCTCCTCCCACCAGCCGGCCAAGTGGCTGCTATGGCCATGTTTACAGCGTAGTCACGGCGACTGGCCATGTGTTCAGTCGGTGGCTTGTCGCGCGCCGGGCAACAGTACGGTCTGGTGTGTGTTTGCCTCTTTGGTTCGTCGTGTATCTCCGTATCACGAAAGCGTTCCCGTGTGACAACTACTCGATTGTCAAACAAAACACACTTACCAGTATTCCACTACAAGATACTGCACACATTGCTCCTACTAGTATATTTTTCACGATACTATCGAATATCGAACGATCTAATCGGTGTCGATCGAATCGCAAAAACATGTCACTTTTTCACGATAAATTTCGAGGGTGAGACTATCACTGAAATGTACCTATCGATTTCGAAAGCTCGATCGCTATCGTGAGATCATTGTCAGAAACGAAATGATGACAGTGGTGTCATTGGAGATTTGTAAGAAAGTTCCCAGCGACGAAATTTTACGCGTCACCCTTGCGATTAATTTACAAAGTGACAATAACGAATGTATGAAGCACGAGCTTCGTTCGTGATCGAGGACAAGGTTTCGTACGTATCATCTGAAAGAGCATTCAGATCGAATAATTCGATACTTGGAGTAAATAATATTGAAAGTGACGCGATTAGTGATTAGTGTTGTATGTTATGACTGGTGCATATTTTACTCGGCTAAAGGAGAAGAACGATGCGGGGTGGTCGCCGTTGATCGTCGATGGTGAAAGTCACGAGGACGAGGAACGATCCGTGAAATTTGGCGGCAGTGGGCCGCAGGCTCGTTCGTCGGTGATCAGCGCTGGATACGCCAGCACCGGTAGCGCTAAAATGCCCCGTAACATGCCGACTAGACGAGGCCTCCAGGCGTTGGCACTTGTTCTCGCCACTGCTTACGCAACGATCCTCCTTTATCAGGCCGTTGCACCTCGTCAAGTGAGTATTCAAACATTTCTATCGTTAAAAAAGAGTAGTGAAAATGACTGGTTAGTATCACGTAAAAAGTAATTCCGCCTTCAGTGCTCTAGTAGAAATAGATATATGTATATATTAATTATTGGTAGATCTAGCATTAAATTTCTGTTCGATTGGTAGATCATGTTAGGTACTTGATTTTTAAACTTTTTGCCCCGTGGAACTGAGTCGCGTAGTACATGTCGATTAATTGACCTTGGTGGTAAAGGGAGCGGTAGTCGTCATTGGCAAAGCGCGCGAATTAGTTACTTTTGAAGCGCCACCCGATAGCCAGTTATGCTAATCGTATGACAAATCGAGTCCGGTCGAGTTTGTTTTCATCGAGTTGCGAACGAACTAGGGTACATAAACATTCCACTAGTTCACGTGCACGTGTTGGCTTCGTTTCCGAGAATTCTCGTTGTTTCGGGTTTTTTGATCGAATTGTCGCGTGTCAATCATGTTTACGAATTGTCGCGAAACGCGGTACGGTACGGAAGGTGATCGTGTACGTGTGTCGTATTATTCCAGTGGGTGGATGAGATGACCGTCGAGGTGAACAGCAGGAGTGTGCTGGTAGAGGTGCCTACTTCAAGAAGAATGATGATCAGCGAGGAATCACCGGTGACACCTGCGATCGCGACAGCAACCATGGCACCGTTCACTACGGACCTCGACGACGTGTTCATCAGCGTGAAGACCACCAAACATTACCACCACTCTCGATTGCCGGCGATCATTGGCACGTGGTTCCAGTTCGCCAAGGATCAGGTACGTATATCATTATTCGGCACCTACACTTATTATTATTCTCCAATACCCTTGATATCCTAATCTCAATGGCGTGATTAACACGTTCGCTAAGGGAGCGGCGTTACATATGTATGTGTGACAGAGATTACATTTGAATTTTCGATAAAATAAATAAATTAAGTCTTTCCCGCTTTTAGTAGAGGGCTCAGCTTTCATAGTTAGCACATTTTAATAGTGCATATGTGAAGACGTGTGTCATATTGTGTCGAATTATTGAAATGCAAGCATGGTCTGCGGTGATTGAATTTCACCGTGAACTGCGGTGCGAACGTGTTAAGCAAATCGTTACATTTTTTGCTGCTATATTATCAGCGCCTCACCGCGGACAACGTAGTCATTAGATTTAGAAGAGACATTTATTCACAACGATATAATAGTCCTTTTTCATTGACACGACGAACAGTAAAAACTTTCTTTTGAACAATGTCCAAGCGATGATAATAATTGATTCAAACGGCAAAAGTTTAATTCATTAGACGTGGCTGGACATCTGGTGGGAATAGACGCGATTTTGTGCGTGATTTGTTACCGTTCGGTGGAACATGTATGTACACGCGTGGGAACCGTGATACTCTGTGCTTCCGTTTTATCGTTTCTTTTCGCTTTTTCTCCTACTCGTGTTCTCTATTAACGTCCATGTTGCATCCAGTATTATACACGCCAGTTTATTCGTGTGGCGTGGTTTATCTGCGCGTCCTTTTCCGGATCCAGATTCGTCCGTACTCGTGTACTTCTTCGCACTTCTCCTTTATTTACCTCTTTTCCTTTCTCCCTCTGTTCTTGTTCCACTGGATGGAGAGCGAGAGTGATAACGTTATGGTTCGTACAATAGGGTCTAGAAACGTGCAACTTTCGCGATATTATCTCGCCGCGACTAATTGCGTGCATTGTACGCCCCCCGTACTACTGGCGACACTTCCTGGAACCGGTAGCTCAGTAAAGTCGAGAGGAAGCCGACGGACAATCGTGATTCTTCGGAATTGCGCGTTCGGAACCCGAAAGTCCATTTTGGAGCACTTATCTCCTCCAGGCGGTGCGATATACATACATATATTGGTCAGTTATGTATATCATACCCCATCATGTCCGGTCTTCTTTGAAGCACGCGTTAAGTTGTGTATTATTCAATGGATTCGACGTAAAGGAAATTTTATTGAATTAGATACTCGTTGAATCCTCATATTTTATTGTCATCTACTCAACGCGTTCAACAATTTTAATCGAATTATTCGAGAAAAAATTTTTCTCCTTGTTAAAGCGCGCGCATTCGTAGTCCTTTTTTTTTTAAATGTTAACCAGCGATAGCGTACAATCGAATTTACCCTGTGTGCAGATCCTCGATAGACGGACACGGTTGTTTATTCCCTCTGTTTACCTATGACCGTTTAATCGTTGCGTGCCAACAATGGATCTACAATACCCACTCGTGGTCCCTTCGATTTCGACGTTTTAATCACGTGTAATTTGCGGAACGGACGGTGATTAAGCGCCGGTTGATTTCAGGCAGACCCCGCACCTACGTAAATCCGTCCCTCGGCCTTTGCCGTTTTTGCGATACTATCCACCTTGCAGAGAACGCAGAGATTCCTGCGTATTGTCTAACGAAATGTGGGAGGAATATTAGGAAATAGTTTGGTATTCTCTTCATTTTACGCTATTACGAATTCACGATCCCATTTACCGAGGCAGGACGATTTAACATAATGAGCCTGGAACACAGGAGGGAAGGAGGGCAGGTAGAAAAGTTGTCCATTGCTTGGAGCTTGGAATTGTTTACCTGTTGATCGGGGGAGGTCGTTCAGAATATAAATCGACTTCTTTTTACCTGTGGCCGAAATTTTACCTGAATAGAGTTCACGTGTGCTGATTCCGAGAGTCATCGTGGTTGATTGGCCGACGGTTAAACGGAGCATCATAGGTGAAAATTAATCGGAGGAAGAAAGCTTCTCTCCTCGATCGATGGAATCGTTTGTCATTAGTTTCAGTGACTCGCCTTGTGTCGCGAGCGACCCTTCAATTATTCACGAAAATCATTTCGCCTTTGAACTTGCACACGAATAATTGTTCGATTACGTTGTTTACTTATTCGGAAATACTTACTTGTAATTTTGCGAGCGAGCGAGAGAGATACTTAAAATCGCTGTTCTCATTATCTCAAGATCGAGGATCGTTGTCGTATTCATTTTGTAATTCCGATACTTCGAATGGAGTACTGAGGCATTCACGCACTCGAATGTCCAAGTACTCAACATTCAGATTAAGCGTTAGAGTAGGGGAGACCGGGCTCAGACGTTACAATTTTGAGAAAGCATAAAAAATGACCGAGAAATAACGTAGTTATTCTCTTCACTATTAACTAATTTATTGTTAAATTTATTGTACTTTAAGATTTCAAGCTTATATTAAACATATTTTAATTAGTTTTTCATAGGGAGTCATTTATTTGTAATTCGGCAAAGCCTAACTTCTAACCCCGATGTGGGGCAAGTTGTTACCGCATTGGGGTAAGTTGTTCCTAAGCAAAAAGAGTTGCCTTTCAGTGAAATATTTCAATTTCTGATGAAATAAAATATAATTGTACGAATAAGGTCTATTTATTAAGGTTCAGATCAACAAAAATATAAGTGCTATCTTTAAAAGAAAACTAAAACAGTACAGGCTGATTCACCTAACTCGACGACCTGATTGCTCGTAAACTGTTCGCTGTACGAAACAGTGTATGAAGCAAAAGTTACACGATTTTAAGGGGGGCATATGTTACAATAATTGTTTTTTTTCTACACTGTTTTTAAACATAAAGTTTCGAAGGTCACCATGATTTTTTTAAACGGAACACCCTGTATTTCTTTCCGGAAATTAAGAGAGAATTAAAAAGTGAGTAAATAAATATTTAGGTGTAATATATCTAAAATGTGTATTTATCGAGATACATGTTCACGGTTCAAGTAGGGCAAGTCCCGGAGAGTTGGATCACCGGGAGAGACCGGCCAGTGTTGATATTTTGTAAACGAAGCAAGATAGGGCTCTGTGTCTCATGTATGTAATACAAATGAATCAGCTAGTTATTAATCTCGCACTAACAATTGTCCCAAAACTCTATCTAAATTATGAATTGCGCTTAAAACTTTCTGCGACCCTGAAACTTTTCTGACCGAGTTACATTGTTAGTGGTATTTGAAAGACAGGTGAGTTTATTTACACTATTCCGATATTGGGCGATATAATATGCACAAAACTACAGTATAACCTCAATAATGCGCATATATTCGTTTTTACTTTATGTTGAGAATGTGGTCGATCACTCCCGTGATTCTGGTATAGTTCGATCACATTAATTCGGGACAGTTCGACCCGGCCACTGTTGAATCGTGAAACAAAACAGTCAGACGAAAGTTATGAAACAGTTGGAACAATTTTCAGATTCCGAGAGCGGAAGTCCAGTTTTACAAGAAAGTGATATGTCGTTAGAAGCGTAGGATGCGGAGAAAACAATTTCCAAACCTAGGAAAGCGACGATTGGATTAAATGTTGCAGCAGTTGGTTTCATGACAAATGCTCCAAGTACAAGAATGTTTGCGATTTATATGGAAAACTGAAGAAGAAATAATATACCAATTAATTTCCTCATTTATTACACTTCTGTAAGCTATACTTTTCGTTACTTTTCCAGTTGCAGTGCCAGTGTTTCTTACTGCAAATGATAATAAATACTTCGATTTGTCGCATAATATAATATATGTATTTAATTTGCCCAAAACAACAGAAATTTGCGTAAACAACAACGCTACGGGTTTTTTTTTTCTAAAAATTGGTCGAACTCTCGCGGACTTACCCTATAATAACCTGCCCCAAGTCAGAGGGACAACTAGCGCCCATCGACACACGTGGCAATTTATGCAAATATTCTGCTTATACAGGGTGGGGCAATAACTATGTCCACCTTGAATATTGCCGTTATTTGTAATAATATGAAAAAATGTTATATATAAAACTTGCACGGTATAGAGGGGGGCATATTGTGATACAAACATTTTTTGCGTGGGTGGAGTTATAGAGGAGATTTCAAGGTCATCTCTATTTTTTTCAATAGAATGCTGTAGCCGGCGTTGAGACGACCTCAGCAAGCTAGCATTGAAGGTCATACAAGGTCAAATGTGGTAGTAAAATAAACTTTCTTACATTACAGGAGATGTTCGAAGTGGTGTCCGTTTGCGTCAATACAAAGTTGCAATCTTCGTATCTTTGCATCACGTGCATGTCTCGTCGTCTTTGAACATATGTATTCCAGTACATGCTGCAATTATCCGTTGTCTCATATTTTCTGCCGTAGTGGGTACTTCTTGACAAACAACGTTTTTCAATGCTCCCCAAAGAAAAAAATCTAACGGAGTTCAGTCTGGAGAGCGAGCTTGCCAAGAAACTACCATAATCCTCCACGTTCTATCCATCGATTTGGGTAAAGTTCGTTAAGTGCATCTCTTACTTTCCGAGCATAATGTGCTGGGCATCCGTCGTGCTGTAACCACATCCTACCATAATCCTCCACGTTCTATCCATCGATTTGGGTAAAGTTCGTTAAGTGCATCTCTTACTCTCCGAGCATAATGTGCTGGGCATTCGTCGTGCTGTAACCACATTATTTGTGGTACATTTTCTAATAATACACACATAAAAGTGAGGTTCTATGAGATACAGCATGCGCTAGAATAAGTTCAGAGACGATGAGACATGCAAGATTGCAACTTTGCATTGACACAAACGGTCACCACTTCGAACATCTCCTGTAACGTAAGAAAGTTTATTTTACATACTACCACGTTTGACCTTGCACTACCTTCAATGCTAGCTTGCTGAAGTCGTCTCAACACCGTCTATCATATCGCGATAAAAAAAAACATAGCATTCTATTTAAAGAAATAGAGATGACCTTGAAATCTCCTCTATACCTCCACCCACGCAAAAAATGTTTATATCACAATATGCCCCCCTTCTATACCGTGCAAGTTTTATATACAACATTTTTTCATATTATTACAAATAACGGCAATATTCAAGGTGGACATAGTTATTGCCCCACCCTGTATATTGAAATAGTCTAATAAAAACTATTAGAAGGTGTTCTTAAATGTCATTTAATGCATATGGACAAAACAATTAATAATTTCGACGTTAAATTATCGAAATAGATTAAAAAGTAACGAACGACAAATATTTACTTTTCTGACACGTGACTTAGGTGGTTGCTTATAACCAGAAGATTCGCTGTCGCAGTTGTTATTTGGCATGATCGACTCACATGGCGAAAACAATCGAAAGCACAATCCTATCTCTTTTCGTTTTAAAGTTATAAGCATCGTAATAATTTACTTCTGTAACTTTTAGCCCCGGCCTCCCTCCCCCATTCATATCTCATCGAATTCACTCGAGTATTCGACAAATCGGATCTCTCTAGTTTATAATTAAAAGAATCACTTTACAGACGTATAATAGCACAATTAAAAATGAACAATCCCTTAATAAATAAACTATTGTGTTCTAAGTATTGGTGAATCAATGACGAGTTAACTTGTCTTGCCCGGTTAATTAGGTTAAAAAGCTAGACAGATCGTTTCGTGCTTCAACACATTACGAAACAGAACACGAGGGCTATAACCGTTTTACGTACATAGTATGTATGTATTTGCTGGTCTCCTCAGCTAGCGTAACATAGAGCTTGGTTTAATTTTCAGCATCGAGCACATATGTTACTGTGGAAACCATTATTTGCAGAGAAAGAGAGAAGAAGAGAGGGTGATCCCAGTGAAGAGATCGGCTTAACGGCGT